AGGAACTGTTTCAGCAGAAACTGGATGGCCTTCCACATACTGGTGATGTTATAGATGAGATTCTTACACTGGGTGGGAGGTTGGACTTGGTGATTTTGAAGATTTCTTCTAACTTTTAGACTCTAGTTCAGTGACACCACAAGAAAGCCCATCTGCTCCAGCACTAGTCCCACCCTCCCACATTTAGAAAAGCTTCAGAGGAACCCAGGAAGAGCTATTGATCAATGATCAATGGCGACATCTCTCTCTCTCTCTCTCTCTCACACACACACACACACACACACACACACACACACACACACACTCTCACTCTCACTCTTTCACTATCACAGGAAGTCAGGAGATGATGCTTCAGTCCTGTTAATCTTGTATCCCCTCCAGAACCTGAGGACAGCTATTTCCAACCAAAAAAGGCTCACATCTTTTTTGGAACAAAACAGGGGCCTTTAATGGCCATGCCATCCTATCCCCCAGCAAAGCCGGTCTATAACACTTGTGCCTCAAGCCCCCTTCACACTGATTGATATGAATGATTGATTGATTCTGCCAACAGGTGTCCTTCACGGAGAAAGGGCATTAAGAGTGAACACAATCCCAACAGGGAGACCATAGCCAGGTTCTATATTGTGGTCCTGTTATATTCAGCTGCTGTCAGATCCCCCAAACAGGGACCATGCTGACCTTCATTTCCTAGGCAGTAATAAAAGATAGCTAGCTCCTCCCCAGAAGGAGCTGCATTTCAGTGGTGGGAGTACCCACAGCTGTTTGGTCCTGTGGTTGAGAGCATGTGAAGGACCTTTTCAGGTGACTAAGTATCTTGCTTTTGGCCAACTATTCCTGTGGCTTCCCACACAGCTTTTACACAGTTCTCTCTACCTTAAATGGCACAACCATGGACCTGAGTTCAAAGCCTGCCTCATCAAAGTTTCCACATCTGTAAAATGGGAGTCATAGTAGCACCTAAATCATAGAGTTGTTGTGAGGATCAAATGTGATAATATATGTAAGGCACTTTACAGTAACAAACCTTAAAGCACCGTAGCACTTATAATGATTTGAAAGGGCCTATCCAGGGAGACACTGAGCCAACTACAGTGTTTCCCATCCCTTCTCACTTCTTTCTGCTTGCATATACAGAAGACATCAAAAACAGGACACGCCTGGAAAGTAGGAGGGCCAGGGAGAGTGGGAGGTGGGCAGAGTTCCCACTGAGAATATGCTGCCTTCCTTAAGAACAACCTTTTATTCTCTTATTTCCAAAAAATCATGAAGTATAACTAGAGAGAAGATTAGCCATGGGATGTGAAATCCAGTGGTATTGGGTATATGAAGGGGCAGAGCTTCATTTTGGTATCACCTCAAACTCCCAGGATTTGATGAAGGCTGTTAATCTTGGAGCCTGAAGCATTTGTGCCATACCTGGGGGTGGGGGTGGGGTCATGCAGATGACATGATGGAGTTGAAGGAACTAAGAATCTCAAGACCTGAGATCTAGTCCTTGCTCTTCCAAGAACTTCCAGCTTTGAAACCTCATCATGTCACCTCTCTAGGACTGTTTCCTTCTCCCTAAAGCAAGGGAGGTAAAGGAAATGTTTTCTAATGTTCCTTCCAGCTTGAACATCCTATGATTCTGAGATTAAAACCTACCCTTTTCTTGTGCTATTATTACCTCCATTTTACAGATGAGGAAACTGAGGTTGAACAGAGGATAAATGACTTGCCCAGGGTCACATAGCCAGTAAGTGTCTGAGGCAGGGTTTGAACTCAGGTTCATGGTTGTATCTTTTAAGATAGAGGTAACTTGGGGTAGCAAGGTAGCGCAGTGGATAGAGTTCAGCCCTGGATTCAGGAGGACCTGAGTTCAAATCTGGCCTCAGACACATAACATTTACTAGCTGTGTGACCCTGGGCAAGTTACTTAACCCCGTTGCCTAACCAAAAAAAAAAAAGACAGAGAACTTTTTAGAAGTTATGTGGGAAGACAGAGGAAAAGTTGGCAAATAGCAAGATACTTAGTTACCTGAAAGGGTCCTTTGTATGGTCTCAACCATGAATGACAATCAGCACAAGCCAGGCCTCAGACATTTCAGGTGGATTTATCTGTGGTGGTGTAGGACTGGTATAGAAGGGGTGCATCCCCAACTGAAGAAGGATATACATAATCACCTGTGAGGACCTGGGACTGGAAGGAATTTGCTGAAATCCACAGAGAACCTAGGAAGTTAATTTCAGCTGCCAAATATAAGTATAGTTAACATTGTAGTGGCTTGCAGGGATCCCAGAAGAACTGGTTGTTTCTAGTGCTTGCCTCCTCTTTCCTCCTCCATCTAATAAGGACTGAAACAGCCCTCCAGTAGACAACAGAGAAACAGAACAATCAAAGGATCTATTACCTACAGCAGGAATGCCATCCTACCCTATGCTTGACCTGTCCTTCAAGGTCCACCTCAGATGCCAATTCCTTTATGACATCTACCCAGCTGGAAGCAATCCCTCCCTCATCTCCTTACCTGATCTCTTGTCTCTTTGTTCTTATGAACCTATCATAGCCTCATTTGTACTGTATTGTAGTTTTCTGTGTACATGTCTTATTGTCCCTAATAGACTGTATGCTCTTTGAGGACAGAAAACCTTTTTCAATGCTGTAGAATTGTGTATATTGGTGAGAAAGCAATATTTTATTTCATTTCAAGATTCTCAAGTTTTTGCAATATGTGGACATGATATTAATGCAATGGATTATGTATCTTTTTTTAAAAAATCAGACCTCTGATTTCATTAATATAGGGAGCTCCTGGTGAGGAGCTTACTCTGACGTGGCATTACATATAGTAGGCGCTTAACAAATTTTTTTAATTTAATGAGTGCATAAAGGAATGAACAAGTAAATGATGGATGAATCCACCCTTGACTAACTGAGAATTGACATTTTCCCTTCCTTAAATCACTCAATCAACCATCTTCAGGGGATGTGTTCTAGCTGCAAAAATTAACACAAAGGAAACAGAACAATTCAGTGCAGAAATTGTATGAGCTATAGTGAACAAGGAAGGGTTCCAGGTCTTGAGCAAAGTCTTGAAGGATGGGAAAACTTTAGATAAATAGAATAAAAGGAACACATTCTGTATTGAAAGTCCACTGGCAGCAAAAGGTCAGAGATAGAAGTGAACATTGTATGTTTTAGCCTGTCTAAAACAGAAAGTGAATATCAGGTAGTAGGAGATAAGGTTAGAAAGGCAGCATGCCATAGTGGATAAATCACTAGAGTAAATGTCAGGAAGCCCCAGGTTCAAATCCCATCTCTGACACCAGCCAGGGAACCATGGACAAGTCATTTAACCACATCTGTAAAATGAGGATAATAATATCTGCAGCATCTACCTCATATAGTTCTTGTGAAGTTCAAATGAAATCATGTAGGCCAAGCACTTTGCCAACCTCAAATCACCGTATAAATGTCAGTTATTATTATATTACCATTGGAGAGTGGCAGTGTGGCATCCTGGTAGAGGGCTGATCTTGTAATCAGTCAGCATGCATTTAATAAGCATTCCTGTGTGTCAGCCCCTGTGTTAGGCATGGGAGATTGAAATGCAAAAACGAGATGGTCCCAGCCCTCAAGGAGCTTATGTGGTACTAGGGAGCTACTATCAAATGTTCATAGGGAGATAAGCATCAAGTCTGGCCTCTGACAAGTCTGGCTGTGATCCTGGGCAAAGCTCTCTCGATGCCCCAGTCACCTCTCTAAGACAGACATGCACAACTTGGCAGTAGACAGGGGCCAAAATTAAAAAAGGCTAAACTTCTTCGAGCCATGGAGAGGTTTTTAGTGGCTCACTTTCCAAGTAAATATATAATTAATGATTAAATTATTTTGTAAACAAACCATATTTTTAAAAAAGGGAAATTTCAATTAATATCAATTAATTACACTTATTACTTAAGATTTCTGTTTATCATGAAATCGCTCCTCTCAGACTAGAGACACTGATGATGGTTGGGTGCTACCAGTCACATGACAGGAGAGAGTGTGCAGTGGCAACCCACCCTCCAAGTTACATGAAGGGCACAATAGTGATTAGTGGAATGTGGGTTAAGTGGGGCACAGACAAAGCACTCGTTACATCTTTATTTTCTTTTACATCCTCTACATTTTTTTTCGGGCCGCCCGAAATCCTTTGGTGGGCTACAAGTGGCCCTCAGCCTGTGTGTTGTGCAGTACTGCTCTAAGACTATAAGTTACAGGTGAGATGACAAGCTGTACATTATCACAGATACCTTGGTGGAGGGATTTTCTAATAATAACAATAATTAGCATTTATATGGTGCTTTAAAGTTTGCAAAGTGCTTTACAAATATCTTATTTGATCCTCCCAACAATCCTTGGAGGTAAGTGCTATTATTATCATCCCCATTTTATAGATGAAGAAACTGAGGCTTAAGGGGTTAAGTGACTTGCTCAGGGTCATAACTAAGTAACCGGTCCAGCACTCTACCCACTGCATCACGTAGCTTCACCAATGAAATTATAGGTCCAGCTGTAGTTTGGAGTTAAATTATAGAAGGCCTTGAAGAACCTTTCTAGGTTTGAGAGCAGAGGAGTAACATTGTAGAAGAGGAATGGGGAACAAATTAACACAACAGTATACCCAGGCTAGATTAGTAAGGGAGACGCTGGAAGCAGAGAGGTCAGCTAGGAGGCCATTGCAGCAATCCAGGTAGGAGCTGATAAGGCCCGAGACTCTGTTCCTGCTGTCCTGGTGTTCTGTTCACATAACAGTCGTGCCAATAGATCAAAAGCCTTCTTTTGGCTGCCTGGCTGAGGCAGAAAGTAACAGATACACGAGCTGTTGGATGTGGGGCTGACAGCCTGCTGTCTATACTGTACTTGCTGCTTTTCAAAGCACTTTCATACCAGTTCTCTCATTTGATCAGAAAGCCTTTGGGACCAACCAGGTGGCCTTTAATTCACCATCTCTGTTTCTCTTTTCTTCCCACAGAATCTGAGAGTCCGGAGCATCGGAGGAACGGAATTTTTCACACGTTCCGCTACCAAGTTCAAGGGAGCCCTGGCCCAGAAATTCATGTTTGTGGATGGTGACAGAGCCATGTGTGGCTCCTACAGGTGACTCTCCCTGAGCGGTTTTTCCTCCAATTTTTCGAGCCCGCTTCTCACAGAGCTAGTTTTTCAAAACTATAGAAGTGTGAGAGGGGATGTGAAGATTAGCATCGGGGGTGGAGTGTCTGCTGACAAGGAGGTTGGGCTGAGGACAGGTGAGCTTTCGCATGTCACAGCAACTCCTCCTCATCCCCCTCCTTACTTTCCCCAGGTCTTTCAGCCTGAGCCCTGGCACCAGGCTTTCATTGTACTTTTAATCTGCTCTTGCAACACTCTAGACATTCCTATCCTGGGAAAGTCTCGATTAAGGCATCTCAGTTACTCAAAGTTGCTGATGTCTGAGCTCCACCAGTCAAGCCTGGCTCCTGGACACCATCTCCAGACACTGGTTCTTATTTTGTGCTGATGCCACACCTGAGTAGCCCACCTTCTGTCATCACCTGCACCACATCTCTGGAATATGGGATGTGGGTGCATGTACTCAGTGTTCTCCCAGATCAATAAGGGTAGAAAGGAAGGAGAAAGTATTCCTTGTTTTCCAGGCCTGTTTGAGGAATGCCTCCCATTTGTGCAGGGATTTACACTTTGAAAATACTTCTCCCAACATGGTTAGCTAATTCTTCTAACAGCCCTGTGAAAGAGGCAGGATTTGAACTGTTGTCCCTGTTTGACAGATGAGGGAGCTGAGGCCCAGAGAAGTTACAGTGACTTACTCAAGCTTGTACAGTGAGCTGGTAATAGTTGCATGACTAGAATCCAATTCTCTTTTTCCAGGTGCTTCACTTCATTTAGCTGTGTCTCTGCCGTAGGCAAGGGGTCTAGGAAAGTCAGACTAGCCCTAGCCAGTCCTTGCGGGGATGATCTGGAGCTCACGAAGAAGAGCTGAGGTGTCCCAGCTAAGAATTCACTTTTACAGAGAGGATGTCAGCTCACAGTAGTCTTGCCAGATCCATTCAAATAGCCTTTGTTCTTGAGATCTCCCTCTGCCATACAGCTGAGAAGACTATGATTGGGAGCCAGTGACAGGGTTTTTATGTGAACAGCAGCAAACACCATGGTAAAGGGACTGTGGGTCCTTATGGAGCCCCTAGAAAGACAAGCTGAAGTTCTCGGTACATCAACCTTGCAGATACAGGGGGACAACTCCCCCTCACCCCTGCCACTGATCTCGCTTTCCCCACAGGATGTACATAAACAATGTGGTTCAGAGGATTTTAGGCCTGACTGCCACCAAGTAGATTTTTGATGAACTAGCAAGTCCTTTCCTTTCCCTGGACTTCTTTTCTTTTCTTTTAAATGAGGGGGTTTCAGTACAGCTCATGATGGATTTGGAGTGAGAGGACTTCAGCCCTGTGTGATGTTAGTCAACTGCTTTCCTCTCTCTTGGCCTCAGTTTTCTCGTCTATAAAATGATTTGGGCAATTTTCGCTATTCACTGTGTGCTCCCGCTGGCTGGCCTATTTGCTATTTGTTGCACGATCTTCATGCTATTTGTCACACTCAGTTCTCTGACTCCGAATATTTGCCCTGACTGTCCACCATGGCGGCACTGCTCCCACTCTTACCTTGAACTCCCAGCTTCCCTGGCTTCCTTGAAACTCAACTCTATCCTGGTCCTCTCCCTTCCTCATCCCATGCCCTTCCATGCTAATGCCTTCCCCTGAGATGACCTTCCATATGCACTGTATCCCTCTTGTATGTAATTATCTACTGCTGTCACTTTTGTTAGAACATGAGCTCTTTCAGGGCAGGGGTCATGTTTTTGCCTTTCTTTGTAACTCCAGGACTTAGCAGAGTGTCTGGCACATGGCAAGTACTTAGTAATGCTTGTTGACTAATTGGACTAGGTGACCTCTAAGGGAACTTCCTATTCTAATCGTGTAGGATCTCAATACCAAAATAAATTTAAACCATATTCTTTATTCTTCCCCTAATATTAACCTATTTTCCTTGAAAAGGGAACTATTTGCAGGAGGGTAACCCTTCTAATACAGATCTTTCTTACTGTCTCTAAGACCTTGGACTATTTACTGACAAAGGGGTCTCCTGGCACATAGAGAAGGTAGTGAGAGGCAAGATAAAAGAAAGGTACAGTGCCTAGTCATTTAGATATATCTCCATACAGATAACTAACTCTGTTTTCTTTCCATTCTAGCTTCACATGGTCAGCAGCCAGGACAGACCGGAATGTGATCTCTGTCCTCTCGGGCCAAGTAGTAGAGATGTTTGACAAACAGTTCCAAGAGTTGTACCTCATGTCTCAAGGGGTCAGCCTTAAAACAGTCCCCATGGAGAAGGAGCCTGAGCCTGAACCTATCATCCTGCCCACGGTCATCCCACTGGCTCCGTCGGGCACCGTAGCCAAGAAACTCATAAACCCTAAATATGCTCTGGTGAAGGCCAAGAGTGCAGATGAGATTGCCAAGGCCTCTTCTGAGAAGCAGGAGAGTGGGCTGGGCAAGAAATTTGATGGCAAGGGGAAGGTATTGGTGGGGAACCAGCTGGCAGAACAGCCTGGTGACTTCCTAGAGCAGCCTCTACCGATCCACCCAGGGCTGCTGAACATGGAGCGTGCCAACATGTTTGATTACCTGCCCACATGGGTGGAGCCAGACCCTGAGCCTGGCAGTGACATACTGGGCTACATTAACATCATTGACCCTAATGTGTGGAATCCACAGCCCAGCCAGATGAACCGAATCAAGATCTGTGACTCTTCCTCACAGGCTGTTGCCCAGTACAAGCTGCTACAAAGGCGACAGAGCCAGGAGGTAGTTGGCCCTGTAGTTGCCTCACCTCCTGACCCTCCTGCAGCTGTAGAAGAGACAAAGGATCCGCCTGTCTCACCCCAAGAAGAACTCAGCCCAAAAGATGTCCCCACCACAGTAGGCAAAGACAGGGACCAAGGAGTCTTTGTCACCTTGGCTGAGAACTGCCATCTCCAGGATGGACATGACCAGGAGGACACAGAGATCAAACCCCCAGTCCCTAAGCCCAGGACAGTCCATGTCACAGACTTTCTCACCAAGGGCAACTCATATGATGGTGGCTTAGGCTGCCAGCCTGGGGGACCCAAGGAAGAGGAGTCACTGCAGCCAGAAGGACCATCAAATGGTACCACCTACAGGCCTCATGAGAACTCTGGGCACCACAAGCTTCTCCGGCAGCTGTCCATGTCCCAGGAGGGCCAGGACCCACCCTCTCCAGGGACCCCCAATGGGCTCAATATAGAAGAGGATGAGGATGATGACGATGACTATGTGACCCTCAGTGACCAGGACAGTTTCTCAGGTGGCTCCACCAACAGCCACCACCGACAGTCCACAGCATCCTCTGTGTCAGACGAGTACTTTGAGGTGAGGGACAACTTCGCCCAACTCCGGAGGCGCCACTCAGAGCACATCCCCAATGGGGCTGGTCATATACGACCGCTTTACAGGAAACTGAGTGAGCCCCACATGAGCCGGGGAACATTCATGAGTCCCTTGAGGAGCCCCCAGTGGCTGCAGAGCTCAGGGGTAGAGGATGAGTATGGCAGGAAGAGAAACAACGGCAAAGAGGAAGTTAAACATATGTTGGGAAGGGGCCCCCAGCGTGACAGCAACAAGGCTTGTGCTAGCCCTGCAACCCAGGTAGGATGGTGTCTTCAGGTGCATGAGGAGAGGGCCCTTCTCTCAAAGTTCCCAACTTAGAATCCATCTGCAGGTTTCCTCTGTCCTTTACTTCCTCACATCCCCAGGGGAGAGCTGGTCTGGGGAGCTCATACTTTCCCCAGATGTTTAAGGGACATCTCATTTAAAGCTGCCTCTTCTTAAACAGAACCATTTAAAAGGGGCTGTTTTGGCTTCCTACCTATCCTTATCATTCCTTCTGACTTCTTTCTTCACCTCCATTAGAGAAGTAAAAATACTGAGGCTGAGAAGGGAAGTGGCCCACCCCTAATCACACAGTTAAATCACCTGCCCACCTCCAAGGTCTTCCAATTCCATACCTTCATCCCATGTCTCCAGCCTGGTACTAGTCACCACCAACCCAGCAGGGCAGGGTTGCAGTAGGAAAAGGGAGCCATACCTGGGTATAGTGCCCGACTAATCATGCCTGGCATAATGATGAGGCCCATGGGCAGCATCTTTAGGTAACTGGCAAGGATGGAGCCTGCTTTGGCATGGTTCAGGTTCCTGGCAGAAAGGGACCTCTGTACTATGACCTGGGGGGAAAACAATAGAGGAGAAAAGGATGTTGCCGGACATAGGCTGACACAGAGGACTTGGTCCTTGTGGAAGATTCACCCAGACAGAGGAAGAACGTGGAGTTCCATCCTAAGATTCAGAAGGCTACTCCCTCTAGCCCCACCCCCTTCTCCTCACATTAATATCACAGACCATTGCCCTTGAGCTTCTAAAAGCCTACTGCAGCCTCCGGTGGATTGGCCACAGGGTGACTTTTCCCTGGCACCCACAGAGGCCTCAGCATGCATAGGAGTGAGCACAGTGCCATCACTTCTGTGCTCAGAATAAATGGTGCTCTAGAGCCTGCCATCTCTGGCAGCCCTTGGGGGGAACGTCCTAGGGAAGGGCACAAACAGACCACAACTTATACATATAAATGGATGTTTTCTATCAAAGCAGCCCCTTAGGGAAGCTGCACCTGTCCAAATGTTGCTGCCAGGAAATAATTGAAACTTCTTTTTGTGAACGGCCTTCAGGGCTTCATAACAGAAACCCAGTCTTGTGACTTCATGGTCATGCCTCATTTTTATTATTATTATTATTATTATTATTATTTTTAACCTCAGATAACAGATACCCATCATAGTCTCTCGCCTTGGTCTCTAAAATACTTAGTCCCCAAATCAGATGTACCCTCAGAGATTTAGCCCCAGGAAAGAATGCTTCCATTAATAGCTCCCCAGATACTTTCTGAGCAAAACTGCACATTAGAATAAGAGAGAAACCTTTTCAGAAGCCTGTGGTGAAGGATGATGCTCATTTGGATGTAAAATTTCTGTTCTGTTTGTTAAACAATCAATTTCTTTACTGTCAAGCCTAATATTCTTTAAGTCTTTACACCCAGTACACTTAGATCGCCAAAATAAGAGGTTTGGAGAAACGAGGCCGCAGGTCAAATCATCTCCTGGGATCCGAGAACTTTATCTTTTCGATAAGCAACACTGGAAGAGCATCATTTGTCAGCCCCTTTGGGTTTTCCTAGCCGTTGGCTAACTTAATAATCATCCTTCTTTGGGCTTGGTCCTTTGAGTCCAATATTCAAGGAGAACTCTCTAGCCACCTACTTCACCACCAGCTTACTCCTTCAACTAGGGTATTAACACATTTCTCCTCAAGAGCACTGGTCCCAAAGATCAGGGACCCAGCCCAGTAACCTTAAATCATCTGAGAAACAGAAATTTTAGAGGATGACTTTGGGTTGGGTAATACCCTAGAGAAATCGAGGGAAACTAAAGGAGAAGAAACTCACCAAAAATGCTACCCTGGGCCTATGGGAAATGACAGTATTCCAGATTTCTAGGGAGGTGAGCCTCTGTAAGGATCAGGTTTCAATTTACTAGTAAGGAAGGACACAGTCCCAGCTGGTTGTGACTATGTTTGCTGATGGTATCTCAGAAGTGTGTGTATATAAGGAAACAAGTGGGAAGTGATGACTAATTTCTAAGGAAGTGGTTCTCAAACTTTTAGGTCTTAGGACTCCTTTACACTCTTATAAATTATTAAGGATTTCGAAGAGTTTTATCTTTGTGGGTTATGCCTGTTTTCATATTAGACATTAACTGATAATTATTTAAAATTATTAATCATTTAATAATAAGCCTGTTACATGTTAATATAAATAATATTTTATGAAAAATAACTATTTTCCAAGACAAAAATATTTAGGTAGAAGAGTGGTATTGTTTTATATATTTTTGCAAATACCTTTTATGTCTGGCTTAATAGAAGACAAGTGGATTCTCATTTCCACTTTTGCATTCAGTCTATTGCAGTCTGTCATTTTGATTGAAGTTTATGAAGGAAAGCTGGCCTCACACAGATATATCATAGAAAAGAGGGGAGTATTTTAGGAGGCAAATAATGTCTTAATGTTATTGTGAGAATAAGGACCCCCCAAAAGGATTTTGGCAACTCCCTGGGTTCCTGAGACCACACTTTGAGAATCACTGGTCTAAGGCGATGTGATGTAGTGGAAAGAACAGAACTTGGGAGTCAGAGGCCTCAGTTTAAATCCCTAAAATGCTACTTATTAGCTGTGTGGCTTTGGCTTCATCCCTCTGAGCCTCAGTGTCCTTGTCAATAAAATGGAGATGATAATAACGGCTGACATTTACAAAGCACTTTTAAGGTTTGCAAAGTGCTTTCCACCTAGGATCTCATTTGAGCCTCACAACAACCCTGCATGGTAGGTGGTGTTATTATCCCCATCTTATTTTTATTTTTTATTTTTTATTTTTGCTTTTTGGTGAGGCAATCGGGATGAAGTGACTTGTCCAGGGTCACACTATTATCCCCATTTTATAGATGAGGACCTTGAGGATGTTTAAAGTTAAGTGACTTGCCCAGGGACACCTGGCAATTAAGTGTCTGAGGTAGGAATTGAACTCTGACTCCCAAGTCTAACTCTTCATCCATTATGCGACATTGCTTTCTAATGCGATCTGGCCTGCATACCTCAGAGTTGCAGTGAGAGATTTTAAAAAAAAACATCTGTCAAAGAACTACCTCAACAGTGTGGTATAGTGGAAAGAGCACTGAATTTGGAATCCGGAGACCTGAGTTCAAGCCACAGCTCGACCCCTTTGCCTTTCTGAACCCCAGGTGTCTTGTCTGTAAAAGATAACTATGTACCTTCAAGGTTGGTAGGTAGTGCGTGATCCTTGAGTTAGAGAGCAAGACTATGAAAGGGACCTTCCCCCATTTTATAGATGAGGAAATCAAGACCCGGAGAGGTTAATTGACTTACCCACCATCACACATACTGAGAAGATAGCAACACATCACAAAGATAATATTCAAATCCAGACCTGTGTGATTCCAATTCAGTGCCCTTTGTACTGTCACACACAGGTCAATGAGATAAAGTTACTTGTAAATTGCCAGGAGTTATATAAATGTAAGCAGTTACTATTATTACCCCAAGGGGCTAAGGTCAGGTGGAGATCCAGATGTCAGAAAACACACGGGAAATGTTAACACACCTTCTGTTTTGTGATTGTTTCTAGCCTGGTTGACTTGGAAAAATTAGAATGTTTGGAACATTAGGCATTTGCCAAAGTGTATGAATGTACACATCTCATCCAAGTGTTTGCTGTCCTCTCCCTGCCTCCCAGGCTACCAACGCCTCTTTGCCACTATCTTGGCTTATGTCTCTGTTAGCCAAACTGTTGGCATGGTGTTCAATAATATCAGGCGGTATGGAGGTTTATAGCCTTTGGGTTATACCTGTCCTGGGAAGTACCCAGTCCTGAACCCTGGGGAGGGAGTCTGGCCTCTAACAAGGAGGATCCTTGAGAAGGGGGAGCTGGTGAAAATTGCATAGGCCTGGACCATGAGGTTCAGCTTAGCTAGAGTGCATACAGAATACATACTAGACCCAAGTTCTAGTCCTGGCCTTTCTCCAACTCACTTGGGCAAGTGACCTTGGGCAAGCCCGCTCCCGTCTTGATGGCTTCATGTCCTCACCTGTACAATGGGGAAGTTGGACTGGATCAGGGTTTATTAACTTGGGAACTGTAAACTTTTTTTTAAAAAATTGATGACTACATTTCAATATCATTGGTTTCCTTTGTAATCCTCTGTATTTTATTTTTTGCATTTAAAAATATTGTTCCAAGAAGCAGTCCATAGGTTTTACCAGATTTCTGTCAGGACATAAAAGAGGTTAAGAATCCCTGGACTAGATGATCCTGTCCAGCTCTGGGATTCTCTGAATCTATGATTAGCCTGGGACCAATGTTCCCTCTCCTTCGACACCTCATCCTTACTCTAGCCTTCAATTCTGAAGTCCAAGGTGGGGAGGAATAAGTGAGCTGCTCTAGTTCCAGCCAGATGGAGTCAGTCAGTCTGGCCCCCTATGCCTTCAGATTTGCAGAGAACCAGAACTGGTACCAGTGGGTGGGCCTTTCTGCCTCTGAACTAGTCCTCCCTTGTGCTGGCCAGGTAGTCAACCCTGAAGGAATGCTGACTCATTTGGCCTCCATGGGAAAACCACCTGAATGACATTAAACTTAGGGAGGCCAGGTTGAGGCCAATGATCTCAAGGCATATGATAAAATGAGGCATGTTGTGAAATGAGTCAAGTGACATCTAGGAAAAGTTTGAATCAGACTAGTAACCCCTAGACATCAACTGTGCCACCATCTTCTCATTTTGTAGACCTCACATTAGCCAAGAGAACCATTTCCCCTCCTGGTCCATCTGCTACCCACCTAGATTAATCTCTACCCTACCCTGGAAACTGGTTTTTTTGTTGGGGTTTTTTTTTTTTCAGTCAGTGCTGCTGCCAGATCTAGTCATTGTTACCCTCACACATTCAGGAAAACTGATCAAAAGGAGCCAAATGTGAAACTGGAGACAGAAAGTATTAGAGCCTGAAGGGACTTTAACATTCATTTCATCCAATCTTATTTTATTTATTGGGAAACTGAGGCCCAAAGAGGGGAAGTGACTTGCCCAAAGTCACACAGCTACTTCGCAGCAGAGCTGAAAATATAGTCTGGATCTCCTTCCTCCCAATCACCCCAACCCCCAATTTTACAGCCACAAGAAACTGAGACAGCTGGAGGTTAAGTTGCCTGAGGCCACAGAGCTGAGAATCAAATCCCTAAAGTCAAGGGCTCTTCAGCAGGGTCCATCAACCTTAAAAAAAAGTTTTTAATAACTGCATTTCAACATACTTAGTTTCCTTTTTAAACTTATGCATTCAAAAACATTATTCTGAGAAAGGGTGCATAGGCTTCACCAAACTCCTGCCAAGAGTCCATGACACAAAAAATATTAAGAATTCCAGCCTTAAATAGAAAGAAAAGGTCCAGCCACTTTTTCTTAATAGTAAAAATAACAATACACTTAAAGTTTACAAAACACTCTCCTCAAGGTGACCCTTTGAGGTAGTGGTGGGAGTATTACTGCCTCCATTTTACAGATAAGGAAACTGAGACTCCAGTAGGTTTTGTGACTTGCCCAGGGTCACATAGCTCTTAAGTATGAGAGGTAAAACTTGAACTCTGATCTTCTGACTCCAAAACCAGTGCTTTTCCACTCATCACAGTCTTTTAGGTTGAAGGGAGTTTTCTTGCCTTCCCTGAATTTTCTTATAAACTTTCTCTCTTGTCCCTACCCTCTACCTCCGCCCAGGGCCAGCAGTTCTACCGTTATGGGGATAAGCGACCTGCCTCTGGGACCAGGGACAAAGGCAGCTTCCAGCAGTCAGCAAAGAACCCAGAGCTTCCCAAATACCGACGGGATGGCATCCATGCAGCCGATGGCTTCCAGCACCCTGCCAAAAAGTCCGGGCCGGCAACAGTGGGCTCACGATATTGGCAGACCAAAGGTGGCCCCCCAGACAGCAGGAACCTGAGGACTGCCAGAACCCCAGGCAGCCCAGCTGAGAGTGGGAGCCGGGAGGAGCTGTCAACCCCATTTGGTATCCCCCTTTCCAAACTATCACAGAATAAAATCCTCAGGAATAGGGCAGGTGGGGGCCTGTGGGCCTCTGCTGATTCCCGAAGGAGGGCGCCAGGACCCACAAGCCACAAGGATTAAAAGCAAGCCTATCTCCCTCACCTTGCTCAGCCCAGAGCTGCTTGCTCCTTTCCTTGGAGCTCTTGAAACTAGACTCTGATAATGCAAGTATTCTTAAACCATGCTGCTTGGACCTCAGATGGGGGAACTGCATTTGTTGTACATATGACATAAGGGGCAGGAGGAGGGGATATGATGTTTACATTTACCTGGTCAGTGCACCAATACCAAGTGGCCATGATGGTCAGACCGAAGGTCATCCCAGTCCATGGGAGATCTGCAGTGTGGGCATCTCGAAACATGTGCATGGCGTCAGCCCGGGGCAGGTGGCATGTTGTGTTGGGGATCGTCTTGTTTGGCACTGCCTGTAAGTAAGCCGCCTCCAACTGGCCATAACCCCCGATTTGGTCAAAAGCTGGAAGGGAAAATGGGAAATTGGGAGGGGGGAGCAAGGGAAAAGAAGAAGCAATGGAGGGAGAGATTGGCTGGTTGGACTGGCCAATGATTCCCCTCCCTCCTGCAACTGACTTCTTGGTGCAACAATTTTTAAGATTTTTCTACTTCACCTTTTCCACACATATGTCTGGAAAGGAGTGGGGAGTGAAAAAAAAAGATCTAATTTTATGATTGTATTTTATTTTTATTTAAAGATAACAAAATTATTAAAAGATAGTTTTGCACATTGGAACTACTAGATTCCTGTTACCCTGGACTTGTTACCCCCAACAATCCCCGAGTGAAGATTTCTTTACTCAGTTTTGTACTGTAAAAAAGCAAAACATGTGTTTGTGTTCAAAACCAAGGATCCCATGGGGAGGTCTAAAGTATTAAACTTCTGGCTCCAACAGTTCCATGCTGGGATCATTGCTGGCTGTGGGGCTTCTGGCTTTGCTTTGTACTTAGAGAATTGGCTAGATGGTAATCTGCCTTCTAGGGAAGAGTTCTATCCCTTCATTTTACACATGAGGAGACTGAAGCTAATGGGGAAACAACTTCCCTTATTTTAAGATGGTGTAGAGGACCAAGAGTCAGGAGACTTGGGTTCTAATCCTGCTCTACTTACTAGCTAGTTGTCTAACTTTGGATAAGTCAGCTAGCTAGCATTTAAGCACCTACTGTGTGCCAAGCACTGGGGATATAAAGAAAGGCAACACCACAGCAAAATCGCGAGTTAAATAAGTCACTTCACTTTTCCAAGGCCTTGATTTCCTTCGTGTAAAATGAAGATTTTGGGCTAATCTTTAAAATCTCCTAGCCATAATAGTCTATGATTCTGTCTCCTTATTCCCTGTTCAATGCTATGTCTAGCATATACAGTGTCTACTCAATCATCTTCTAATAGGCAATGCTAAGACTTTTCCCTTAGGAGATGATTTGTTCCACTCCTTACTTCAGTGATCATGACCACCTCTTTTACATAGGCCTCCACTGAAACCCCTTGTCCCATGGCTGCCTTGACATCCCTTGAAACAGTGTAGAAAAACAGATCTTGGGCTCACCTGCCAGGAACCTGAATGCAGAACTAATAATCTGGTTGCTACCATTGAAAAGGAAGGAAAGCAACCACTTGGTTTATTCTGTCTTCATCCTAACCTTCCAAATTGCCTGATTCTGTCTTCATCCTAACCTTCCAAATTGCCTGGATCTGTCCTATCTGCCCCTCCCAGTGGAGAAAGGAGGGAGACCAACATATCTGGGGCCTGCCCTGATTCCAGGGAACAGCTGATTTTCCCTTTGGGTGGGTAAGGGAATGGGGGATAATCTGAGAGGAAATATTGATTACTGTTGGCCAATTGCTTTCCCCTACATTCTTCAGAAAAACTGGGCCTATTCCCTATGATTACCTATTCAGACAGGAACAAGTCCAGAGTCACCCCCCCCAGTTGGGCCTCAGCTTTGAGGGGGGCTGAATTATCCCCTTTCTCTGACCCTACCAAAGTACTCATTGCTGAAGGGATAAAATATCTTCATGGTAGCCAGGCAGTCATACTGAGGCAAGAGACAAGCCCATGGGCCTAGAAAAGGGCCAGGGAGAAGGGGCCAACCCCAAACTGGCTGCATGCCAGGAAACTGCCTAGAAATAGTTACTGACAAGTAGGTTGTTTCACATAGCTCTAAATTCCTCCTCCCCCCACTCCTACACCCCTCAGTCTTTACACAGTTATCCCTGAAAAAGAGGGTAAGGTAGCAGAATTCAGTGGTCCCTGGAAGTTTAGACAACTCCCTATGATCTCCAACTTGAAGACTGCTTCTCATGTATTTCCTTTTTTAATAATTTATCCCTTCAAAGCAGTACATTACATACGTATTTCAATGCTGCTGCGTACGATGGGGGCTCACAGGGGGAAAGGATGTTAGAGTCAGCTGTTCCAACCCCCTCGTTTTACATGTAAGGAGACAATCCCAGAAGAGTGAAGTGATTTCACCAAGATCCCACAGGCTACGTAGTAAAGTAGCAGAGTTAATATTGAAACCTAAGTCTTTTGACCCTAAATACAGTACTCTCCCCTTAGCCATTTTGCAGACATCTTTGGGAGTTTCCTTCAGAGCCAGGTATGTCTGAGCCAGAAGATACCAGTTTTCCTGTCTTTCCATTGATTTTTATGTTTTTTCTACCCCAAATAGGATCCCTAGACACTCCCCCAAGTAACTTTTGGCTTTTTTGAAGAATCAGATCTTCCCTCCAAGAGCAAAGATTTGCAGCCATAATGAATATTTCAAAGAATGAGCTTCAGGCTCTGGTAGTCATTACAGGGCTGTCCATAGAATACAATTTAGAACTGTTACAGATTTGGGGCATTATCTGGTCATAGGAGCATAGATGAGAACTGGGGACCTTATACATTAACTTGGTCAATGCCTTCAATTTGCATACAAAAATAGAAGTTCCCTGCCCAGTGTCCTATATGTAATAAGTAGCTGAGCCAGGATTTGAAAAAAGAGCCTCTGACTCTCCCTCCAACTTGCTATTCTAAATGATATTATTATTATTTCTGTGAGTGTCACTCAGTCTCCTGTGTTTAAAACTTGGATGCTATCTTTTATCCTTACTTCTCCCTTGAAACACTCCCAATCACTGCCATTGATTCTACCTCAGAAATGTTCCTTTTTTCTCCCTCCTCCCTCCCCCATTTCCCCTGCTACAAGCTTAGACTATCATCATTAACACCCTCCTGCAAGGTAACCTAATAGCTGTTCCCACCTCCACTCACTTCATCACCTCCAACCAGCTGCGCCCCCACCAGACATCTTTTCTTACCCATACATCTAATCACATTGCTCCTGTGCTCAAAACCCTTCAAAACTCCCTGTTATGTACTATAGAAGTTCTGAGTCCATTCCTTGGCCCTCTACAATCTGGCACCACCCTGCTTTTCCAGCCTTGTCATACTGTGTGCTCTACACTTTAACTAAACTTGACATCCCTCCATCCACTCCACACTTCTTGCCCCCACGAATTGCCAACACTGTTCCCTATAGCTGAAATGCTTTTCTTCCCTAACCTCTTCCAGAAATCACTTCCTCTCAAGCCTGTAGGCTCCATGTGAATCAGTAATGTGAAGCAGACATTGCTTGTGCACTGCTGCTCCACATAAGAAAAAATAATATTATCATTGTATTCTACAAGGGTCATACCACACCAAGTCCAATTCTAGATCCATTTTAGGAGGTATGCTGAAAACCTGGAGTGCATCTAGAGGATAGCAGAAAATGAGAAGTGATGCCATGCGAAGTTCAGTTGAAGGGACTACAGATTTGACCCCTTCCTTTTACAGATACGGAGACAAAAGCTATAGATGTGATGTGACTTGCCCAAGGTCACAGAATCACTGAATTTCCTAGTTGAAAGGGACCTCAGCAGCCAACTAGTTCTGCCCATGCCTGAAAAAAGAAATCCTCTACAACCGACCCAACTTTGAGCCTTTGCTTGAAAAGGAACTCACCACCTCTCAAGGCAGGCCACTCTACTTCTGGATAATTCAAATTGGTAGGAAGGTTGTTTCCTAATATCTAGCCTAAATTTACTTCTGCTGCTTCCACCCATTGCAACTGCTTCTGCTCTCTGGAGCCAAACTTTACAGGCCAAATTCTCTCATGGGACGGCCCTTCAAATACTTGAAGACAGCTATGATGTCGTTTGCTCCAAGGCTTCTCTTCTTCACACTAGAGATCCCCAGTTCCTTCAACCAGTCTTCAAATGACATAGACTCAAGGTTCTTTCAGCATCCTGGTTACCTTGACAGCTAGAAATCCGAGCTAAGGGCATCTGATGCTTAAGCCAGGGCTGCAGGAGCATACTGCTCTCATGGTTATTTAAGTTCTAGCATGTTTGCTAAGGAGTAGCTAGGTGGCTCAGTGGATAGAGTGCTGGGCCTGGAGTCAGGAAAATCTGAATTCAAATCTGGCCTCAGACACTAGCTGTGTGACTCTGGGCAAGTCACTCAACCTCTGTTTGCCTTAATCCACTGGAAAAGTAAGTAGCCAATCACGCCAGTAGGTTTGCCAAGAAAATCCCATGGACAGCATTGGCATGCTGTGGCCCACAGGGTCATGAAGAGTTGGATACGACCAAACAGCACTGCTAAAGGATCAGCACCATTATTTTATCACTCCACCCATGCTTCCTCAGAATTTCGAACTTAGAGGCTCGGTGGGGTGTTGCACCCCAATCTCCCCTCCTTCCCTCCATGCCTGCCTTCCTCAAAAGTGCATATGAATGCCTCTTTGCATTTGGTTAAGGGCCAAAAAATCTTTTGGAAAGTTCACCTGTCTAAAGGCATAACCAGAGCCTTTCCCACATTCAGAATTTCACCTGTCACCCTATCTGGCATAATGAGAGTTTCATCCCAAAGCTTATTGTCTGAAAGAGGCTGAACAAACGACCCTTGAGTCTGATTTTCCATTCACCCTCTATAAATCGCCTCCCAGAGTTTGAGTCTCCTTGAAAAACATCTATCTGTAATATGTTTGGGCGTGCATGTTTGGGTAGACAACTCCTGCTGGCAGTCTGTTAGGCACTCCCTGGCGGGAAGATAGGTGATCAAGCATAGAGAAGGTTAGAGGTCAACAGTGTGGCACCATTCCCCTCGCCCCACCCCCCAAAAAAATAAGGCAGGCTGAGACTTAGAAATCTGCTAGTAGTCTTGGAGTCTTAAATGAACGTCCTCTAGAGCACGGGGTATCCCTATCAATAAGATTCTACCTCCAAAGTCATTTGGTTACTGCTGCAACAAAGGGCCATGGGAACCATGGGAATTGACCTTTCCCGAGATAAGCAAGATAAGCAACTAGCCAGTCAGGACAGTTGCCAAGCTACTAAATAGAAGTAAGTTTATTTTCCGAAAATTGAACCTCAGCTTTCTAGCCTGAGAACACTACTCTCCCCTCCCCTAGTTTTTGCTGACAAATAATAACTTACATTTACATAGCACTTAAAAGTTTACAAAATATTTTCTTCATAACAACCTTGTGAATTATAGTTTTATTGTCATGAGACCCATTTTACAGGTAAGGAAACTGTGGCTCAGAGAAGTTAAGCCACTTGCCCAAGGTTACACAGCTAGGAAGCGTTAGAAACCCTTCAGACCTGGATCTCTTAACTCTTCAACTGTGCTGCAGTTCCTAAACCGTGGTGCAGATTCCTTCTGTTCAGTCTACCACTGCCTTAAGAGAGATACTATTTAATTTAAATAACAGTGACTTGTGGTTTGAGGCTTCTCGATTGGATTGAGGCAAGTGAGGGAGGGTGGGCCAGCTGTTCTCTCCAGGGAAAGAACATTCACGATCCTGCTACCTACAGCAGCCTGTTCTCAGAGGCACGTGGAGCCAACCATCCCTGTACCTCTTAGATTGGTTAAACAGATATCCTGCTCCTCTCCCTGATGTCTCTGTTGTCTGTAGCCTAAGCCAGGCTGAATTTCACCCTGTGCAAACGATCCCCCCTTGTCTCTATCTCTTTTTCTCATGTGAAGTGTTATTGTCGCTGGAGAATTTATTTTTGTTATTTTAAACAGATGAGAGGCTCTGGTTGTCTTCTGGCCTTAAATGCACTATTTAAAATCCACCTCTGCTGCATCTCATTGTAAAACGTTGAGTTACCAGCCAGTGTTTCTTGAGCTGGAGCTGAGAAAACTGGCCAGGGAAAGGGAAACATGGGAAGGGACTTTGAAAGCCCATCAGCATCTTCTGCTGAATTGCTCCTGTCTTCATCTCTGCAGGCCTTTGTTTTCCCAACCAACCCTCACCAATTCTGCAGGTTCAAATGTTCTGGGCCATTTTCGAGAACCAGCAGGCATTCTTGCAGGGCATGACTCCCCTCCTCACCTGTTACCCTGTATTTATGATTCTAGTATCCCACACCTGGTATTTAAAAATGCAGAAAAGTTGTATAAGCAAAACCTAAACCCAATAAAAGACTTCAAGTTGGAATGGGTCCCACCCTGGGCATGTGTGTGTGTGTGTGGTTGCTGAGCATGGGAACAAACAGCCCAAGATGGGGTTGGGGTCAACTCCTTACCTTTGATTGTCAGGATGATTGCCCCAACTATCATGATCAGTGTCTGCAGTGCATCGGTGTAGATGACAGCAGCCAGGCCACCTATGGGAAAAGGGTAACAGTGCTCAGGACAGATGAGACTCAGGCCAATACAGGGCAGTTATTACGAATGAATGAATGGAACAGTGAGCCAGGCAGTTAGAAACTCTGGGGGAAGTGAGGGAAGCCTGTGTATCACCCACATGCCCTCTCCCAAGGTGGAGTCATCCGTGTTGCCGTGACTCTCCTCAGCTTGGCACCCACTGCCTTCCATGCTCTGACCTAGTTCTAAACTCCCCAGCTTTGTTTTCTGATTCTCTGCCCTTCACTTCTTTTCCTGCGCCACATCTCCAATCATTCTCCGCACATGCCCCCTACTTTTCCTTCTTTGTACCTTTGCTCATGCTGCTCTGCTCTCACACTGCTAAAAACCTCATGACAAACCTGTGAACAGGGTATTACTGTTATTATTTTCCTCTTTTTACAGATGAGGAAACTGAGTAAGTGACTCATCCATGATCATGCAGCTATAAACTGTCAGAGGTGGCCAAGATTCAGAACCAATTGTTCCTGACTTCCAGTCCAATACTCTAAGTCAGAAATATATTGGACCTTTGGTATGGAAGCACTATATTTCTCTCAGACAGGGTTGGAGGTATATGTAAACCTACACGCAAAGGGTAGGAACCAAGTCAGGAGCTATGTTTTCTCTGCATCATCTTCCTCATTGTGCTGGTGAGTAGGGTGGGGAGCAGGAAGGCAGTGCCTAGAGCAGAGGGAGCTTTGGGTTGGATGAGGGTCCATGGCATGGAAAAAACGGTTTCATTGAAGCAGATCCACAATCTATTTCATTCCATCTCTTACCTGCAACGGTGTAAACTGCCGTGATCACCAACGTTATGCCAGTAGACAAGAAAAAATTCCAGCCCAGACAGATGTGCACAAAAAGGGCCCCTGCATACAAGTCAATCTGGAAGGGCCACAAGGTCAATGGTCAATCAATTTGCATTTATTAAAATCTGCTATGTGCTAGGCAATATGCTATGCTCTAAGGATAAAAAAATAAATCATTCAATGAGCTCTCAAAGGAGTTTACTGGCTAGGGGAGAGACAACATATGAACAATTATGTATAAACAAGATAAATACAGGATAAATTGAAGGTAATGTCAAAGGCAGGATGTTAAGATACTCTGGGGTCATTTAACTACAACAGAACCACAATGGTCATGTTCCAGGGCTCATAACTCAGCAGGCAAACTGAGTCAAGGAGGTATGAAGTCTAGGCATACCTATCTACACTCACAGTGGGGGGAAAAGTCTATACTAAATCATATAATTTTTAAAATGAAAAGTAATGATAATAATAGCTAACATTTATATAACACTTTAAGTTTTGTAACAGCACTTTACAAATATGTCATTTAATTCACCCCAAAACCCTGTAATGTAGGTGCTATTATTATCCTCATTTTATGGAATGGGAAACTGAGGCTTCATGAAAGGTTAAGTGACTTGCCCAGGGCCACAAAACTAGTAAGCTTATGAAGCAGAATTTGCACTCAGGTCCTGATTCCACATCCAGGACTCCATTGGTTGGGGCTACCTATTTGCCCCTAATAAATGTTTATTACTTTCAAGTGTCACAGGCGAATAAACATGAGACTGAGAGAAAAGAAACCAGGGCAATGTATTTATTGTTATCCTCAGACAATGAATCTACAAACATTTATTAAGTGTCTACAAAGTGTCAAGCATTGGCTTGTGCAGGGGGAGTTTACATTCTATTCTGGGAAGGTTACTTCCCTTCTCTTGGCCTCAGTTTCCTCACTGTAAAATGAAGGATTTGGACTAGATGATCTCTAAGGATCTTCCCAGATCTAATATTCTGATGATTCACTTGGCTCACTCTGGGACAGGGCTTCCATTGCCCCACTCCTTCAGGAAGCCCTAAGAGGCAGGATGGTATAGAAGAGAGAAGACCGGATTAGGTGGTCACAGAATCCTAGAAGCTCAGAGTCAAAAGAACATCTAAGGCCATTATAACCCAACTTATGCATCTACAAGAATCCCTTCTATTATTGTTGTTCAGTTGTTCTTGGTCGTTCTGACTCCTTGTAACCCCATTTAGGGTTTTCTTGGTAAAGATATTGGAGTGGTTTGCCATTTCCTTCTACAGCTCATTTTACAGATGAGGCAAACAGGGTTAAGTGACTTGTCCAGGGTCACACAGCTAATGTCTGAGGCCAGATTTGAACTCATGAAGATGAGTCTTCCTGACTATCCACTGCACCATTTAGTTGCCCAGGAATCCCAACTAACATGGTCATCCAGCTTTTGCTTAAAGACTTCTAATAAAAGGGAGCCTACTCCCTCCTAAGACTACCCATTTCATTTTGGACAGCCCTCATTATAAAGATGCTTTTTCTTATATCAAGCCTGAATCTACTTCTCTGAAACTTGCACTCATTACTACTAGTAATACACCATTACCTGTTCCTAACTTCTGTCCTCTGAGGCTAAGTAGAACAAGACCAATCCTCTTCATACGATCATAGATTTAAAGGTAGCAGTGACTTAAGAGGTTATCTAGTCCATTTATTTTACAGTTGAAGAAACTGAGGCCCAGAGAGATTAAATGACTTGCCCAAGATCACACAAGTGATCATTGACAGAGTCAAGATCCAAATCTAGATTCTCTCATTCCTTCTCCAGCCCTCTTTCCACTGTACAATGCTGCTGCCCAATACCCCAGGTGGAAGCTCAGAATCAGCTACCAAGAGTGATTGTTAAATTTTCAGTGTGAGCATTTACATTATGGAAATCAGTAGAGGCCACAAATCAAGATTTAATTTATTATTTTATTGATTGTCTAGACTTAAAGTGATAGAGAAAATATTAATAACTCAGATTAAACTTAAGAATGTGTCCTGTGTACACTTTTTCCCCAGAGAGCTAGTTGGTAAAGATTTACCACCACATTCCTACCCACAACCAAGTCTCTTCTTCTCTAGCCTAAACGTTCCCAATTTCTTCAACTGATTCTTATATACCATGACCCAAAAGCACTTTACCATCTTGGTTGCCTTTCTTTGAACATTTTCCAACTCATCAATGCTCTTCCTAAAATGTGATGCCCAGAATACTCCATAGTAAAAGATTACTGCAGATGGTAACTGTGGCCATGAAATTAAAAGACACTTGCTCCTTGGAAGGACAGCTATAGCAAATCTGGACAGCACACTAAAAAGCAGAGACATCACCTTGCTGACAAAGGTCTGTATAGTCAAAGCTATTGTCAGGATCCCCATGCCAAGACCACCCCTCTCTTTTTATCCTTCTCTTTTTACTATTAGGAGACCACCCTGTTTTCCAGAGCTAAGGTCTAGCAAGCAAGCTGTGCCCTGAGCTTGGCATAACAACAAGCCTTTGCAATCACCCTCTGGATGAACTCTGCTGTAGCTAAGTCACAGAACTGGTTGACACCAACCCAAAGTGGTACCTGAGCTTGGACAAGCACCTGCAGGAACCATGTTCCGGTCATGAAGCCCTACCATGAATCACACTTGCCTCATTGTTTCTGTTCCCCCTCATTGCCACTGCTACATCTCACTGCTCAGTTCTTTGTCTAGCCACTTCTGTGGCTCTTTGGTTTATTTTATTTTACTTTTCAGCATTAACAGTTGTTGTATAATTTCTGTGGCTCTTTGGTCATTTATTTTCAGAGTCTGACACCATGGTTTTTCCAGTAGTAATGTATGGCTGTGAGAGTTGAATTGTAAGGAAAGCTGAGTGTCACAGAATTCGATGTGGTGCTGGAGAAGGCTTTTGAGAGTCCTTTGGACAGAAAGGAGGTCAAATCATTCAATACTTACAGAAATTAATTCAGGCTCTTCACTGGAAGGTCAATACTGAAGCTGAAGCTTAAATCCTTTGGTCACATAATGAGAGCACAGGACTCATTAGAAAAGACCCTGATGTTAGGAAAGATTGAAGGCAAAAGGAAAAGAGGACGGCAGAGGATGAGATGGATAGATAGTGTCATGGATATGACAAACATGAACTTGGACAGACTTCAAGAGATGGTGAAGGATAAAAGGGCCTGGTGTGCTATGGTCCATTGAGTCACAAAGAGTCGGACGTGAGTGAACAACAAACAATACTCCAGATAAAGGTTGACCAGGAAAGAGTACATTGGGATTATCACCTCTCTCATCCTGCCCACTACATTGGTATGCACATAATTTTTTTTTTGGCTGCTACATCATACTGTTGACAAATGGTTCTATAGTCTGCCAAGACCTCAGAGTCTTTTGAAGACAAACTGTTGTCTAGCCATATGTCTCCCATCCTGTACTTATGAAGTCTGTTAGACACAGACACAAATCCCAACTTCAACATTCATTAGCTATGTGACCATTAGAAAAACACTTCACATCTCTGATCCTCAGTTTCTTCATCTGTAAAATGATCATAATAATATGCTACCTATCTCACTGAATTGTTATGGGAAAAGTGCTTTATAAACATTAAAGCAATATAATGTGGACTATAAGTAAATTTTGTCAAAATTAGGCAAGCCACTCTAGGGAAGAAGAATAAGGTACCTTACTCAGTCTTTGGGAGCTAAAAGCTTGTGATAATATAACTTATTAGATCAGATAAGACCCAGCAGCAAAATTTCAGCAAGTATAACCCATGGTCCAGTACACCCAAATTCTGGACATATATTGACTATCCAGTCTTGGGATAGCACTGAAAAATAATCTAGCTTCTAACTTATATTGCTCCCGCCTAGAGTTTGCATTGGAAAAATCATCTTATGCAGCTCAGTTTTAGGTTTCCACAGATGTGGCTTAAAGAGTTCCCACCTCCCATACAAGCATTTGAGGTAACAAACATTTCCAGCTACAGGACAGTCCACAGAAAATGAAGGAGACACAAAGGACTCACTTGAGCTCACAAACAAAGCAGAAAAAGCATGAAAGACTTACACAATAACCCATAATCAATAGAATTCTCCCTCTCCAGTGGGTCCCAGTTTTCCTCAGGGTCATAAAGTTGTCCAGATACAAAGTCACCTATAGACATTCAGCCTGCTGATACCTTCTGACGGCCTTCTCTTCCCATAACAATAGTCAAGCTGCTCAAGAAATTCCCCTTCTGGGGGTAGCTAGGTGGCACTGGATAGAGCACTGGCCCTGGATTAAGGAAGACCTGAGTTCAAATCTGGCCTCAGACACTTGACACTTACTAGCTACATGACCCTGGGCAAAATCACTTTACCCCATTGCCTCACGAAAAAAAAAATTCCCCTTTTCTGGATAAAAGATTGGATCTCCAAACACTTGAACTTAGGGTTACTCACAAGGCAATCCTGAGCGTGATACTATCCAGGAAATCCCCCTTCCCTGGCTAGAAGACTAGATTTCTGGATTTTGCTGCCTAGGAAATCACCCCTCCTTTATCTAGGAGGAAGGAAGGTTAGGAAGATTATCTAGGAACTCCACTCTCATGTCAAGTAGGCAAACACATTTTTTTTTCCTTTTCTGTGGTTTCTTCTAAGCCACTATTAATGGCTCCTGGGAAGGAGGATGATAAACTCCCACCATCACCACCTGCTACTACAGGAAAAAGTTGACTCCTCACAGCAGCCTTTTTGAGGTGTGGTTTGGTAATTGTTTATTTGTTTATTTTTAAAGGATTTATCCAGAATATAAGTGGAAATGGAAGGGAAAAAGCCAAGGACAATGTGAGCTGCCTTTTATGGGCCAGCACAAAGGGCTGGTTCTTTCCACAGAAGTCTATCCTCTCAAGAGTCCAAGCCAAACAATTCATCTTGGGGTCAGCCCACATCAGTTAAATCCCTTCTCCAGGAGTCACCAAGAGGCAGTTCCAAAGCAAATTATTCACTTTGGGGCAGTCCCAGTCTCTGAAATCTAATTAGCCGATGCCTTTTGTCCCCTCCACA